TAAATCAAAAGACAGTCCTTGATGAAGGAGGCCTTTACCCGTAAAAGGTCCATAGTAATTTATGATCTATAAAAATGAATTTGAATTTTGATTATTTTTAATTTATTTGTCATTTAAAATTTATGTACATTGAAATTATTAATGATTTGAATTTAAATTTAAGGATTGTTTATAGTAATATTTTATTTTATTAATACATGCACAAAGTATGTAATAATTAATCATATGATATACTTGCTTAATATATTTTTAATTATGGAAATAAAGAGGCTCTAATAATTTTATATATATCTACTAGCAGACCGGCCAAGCGTTGCTGTGGCTAAGGTTTTTGTTATATTACATAGTAGCAAACTATTCAAGGGAAATGGTAGGAGAACACCAGTAATGGGGACCACAATGCTTTTTTGGTGGTTATGCCATTAAATTGTAGCTTATGTGAAACGTTGGTACTTTCAACACAGCGCCACCTGTTAGAATTCAAACTATCAAAAATAATAAACAAATATTTTGCAATAAAATAATATTGCGGGTATAAATTGAGATGTAAGCTATCCTATCTTTTAAGTTGGATCAAACTAAACACGGTGTGCAAATTTGATTGATATACGTTCGGTAGTAGGAGTCCATAGCGGACAAACAACGTGACACGTAATTTATATATATTAAGATATCAAAATTAATCGTAAAATATGTTGCTAAGCACAAAACTCGACTGGACCGAATCAAGTACTTTTTTCCAATTATTTCTTGAACTCTGAGGGAGGTTATGGAGATAAATATTTGAAGAATTACACCGAAACTGAAAACCAGTTTAAAAAAACATATTAAGGCGAAACGAAGTCAGTGATCAATATTATTTAATTTTTACAATTAACTTTTTTAATTACTTTTTTGCGTCTGAGGCACAAACTAACTCTCTGACAGAATGACCAGCGCTGTGGAACACGTCTGCTCCACATCATAATGCTGAGCCAGGGCCAGTTACTACCACAACACACATTACACACTTAAAATGTGCCTAAATCCTTTTTTGTCCAATTTTTTTTTTGTTATTTTTCTTTTTGATTATTATTATAATTATTATTTTGTGTTTCTTTTATATATATTTTACGGGGGCAAACGAGCCTACGGGACGCCCAAAAAGGGAAGTCATCGCTGCCCATAGACACCCATTTTTAGTTGATGCGTTGCCGGTCTTTGAGGGAGGAGTACACTCGAGTCTTAATTGGCATCTTGACGGTTAATTTTAACTTTTTAACGAATTTCTCAATATATTTATCCGTCTTAGATAGAGCTTAGAAACTTGATGATATTTAACACACAAGTGGAACTTGTTATGAATTAAATGACTCATTTAATTATTTCCTAAGACCTTCAGCGTTTCCTTCGTGTATATGTTATATTATAATTTATCACCTATAGTGAGAATGAGGATTATAAAAAATAAAGGGACTATTATATTACAATGTATAATTGCAATTTGTAATCGATAGTAATAAGTATTCTTCATTCATTCATTCATTCATTAGCCTTTATTGCTGACACCCAGTACAATGCAATAACAATTATTTAAGTTACATAACAAACACCTTATTCTAATACATAAATAAAACTTAATCTAATACGTCACTTGAACCGTTTTAGTTAGTCAGCGTGTCCTGTGACACACAGGTCTCTTCCAGCTGTTTCCATTCTTTTCTGATATAAGCTCTTATTGTCCAAGTTGTGCCTCCTATTATCTTTATATCGTCTGCCCATCTCTTGCTCGGTCTTCCTCGTTTCCTTTTTCCATCACGTGGTTGCCATTCTGTAATTATTTTTGTCCATTTCAACCTGCTATCTCTCGTCATGTGCCCAGTCCAGCGCCATTTCAACTGCCTTATTTTCTTTATAGTGTCTTCTACTTTGGTCGTTGATCTGATCTCTTCTGCTCTTAAGTATTTTTAATGGAGTTTTAAACCAGTTTTCTATAAAGTTAGCATGTTGTATGTAGATTCCATCCATTTTAAAACAAAGTCTTTTATTCATTTATTAAAGTTTACCACATCATACATAGTACTAAATCTACGGCTTATGTTACGGCAAATATTAAAGAATACAATGAAAATATGTACAAGATTAAATAAAACTACTATAAGAAAGAAATTTTTGTTCAGCAGGAAAAAAAATCACCAGCACTATTAAAAATCTATTGAAATATTTTCTCCATCAGAAATGTGGATACTCATAACAGTCTACCATGAAAGGGCTGATCATCTAGAAAATCATTAAAGACATAGACGTCACGAAGTTGTAGTAACATCGGAGTAGTTAGTTAGAGTATATTATAATACGTTCGTTTATGTGGACAGGTAAACATGTCAAGATATTCATAAGCACTTGTATTTATAGTATGTCTATCAGAAGGTTTATATGTACTTTAGGAGATACTACGTAAACCTTTTGAGAGGATACTCAAAATATTTCTTACAAATGAAATTAGCGTTTTGTATGGGAGGAACAAAATGTAGATTTTTTTTTTAATATTTAATTAATCAAAGTATGTACCATTGCTATCTAATGCACTTTTGCCATCTTATAGAATCATTGATCCCTTTAAAAAACCATTCGGACGGGGATCAATAAAATCTTTAAGGCGGTTTCGACTGCCCCATCAGAGTTGATTTTTTTACCATGTTACGGAAGTAATATATGTACGAAGTCAAACCAACCAGGTTGTCATGCGCAAAACTAAGATTTTTCATACAAATTTTATCTAATTATATACATTTTCAGAATCATGGCAGAACTGTTGATACAGAGCAGAGCTATTTACATTTAATTTAATAGAAAAAATTAAATAAAATTTTTGAGAAATCCAAGTAAAACATGTTCTTTACCAAATTTATTATATATATACTTTTTGTGGTTATGTACCTTAACTACTAAATAATTTTTCAGTATAGAATATACTAACCCTCATTGATAAACTACTATAATTCATATAGAGTTGTTTTAACCTTATCACGCACGTGTAATTTTGATAATTGCTATGACAAAACATTCTTAAGCCGTTAAAAGTTCTTTTGGATAAAAGTTGCCTACACCTGCAGCGCCTGGATTTCGGTTGCCTTTCAAGTAGTGGTACAATATTTAAGGCCTAGCCTCGAAGGGAAAAAAATACCAAGGACGTCGTTTTAACGTATGTTTACTTTCCTGCTGAACTGAACATCTTCTGAAGTTATGAATAAGTTCAATCAAAACTAAGTTAACTATACCTCGTATCGCTGGAAAACTGTCTCCACGTGATTTCTCGTATATGTTGTCTGATAAAACCACTGTTGATCCCTCACCAATAATAACAATTGCAAAGTAGAAGCAAAAATATATTAAATATTTAAATTTCATATTTGTATTATTTAATCTAGTTTATTTTCTCTTTTATCATTTTAATGTTTCCCTTTAAATGTTATGCACACTTGTCATGCACATGCATGTATTGTGTGTTTGTGTGTCGTGTTTTCTCTGTAAGTGTTTGTATGTGTTTCGTTAGTGTGCCTTTTTAAAATTAACTGAAAGCTTTAAAGAACCTAATAGGTTAATCTAAAAATATAGTAAAGTAGACGCGAAAATGTTTCTTAAGCCCAAAACTTTTTAACAAGCTTAAGTGAAAGTGAACTCGTCAACATTTTTGGTGGAGTAAAATTAGTTTGAATTTTAAAATATTGCTAAACTGTTAATTGATTGAATGACTTAATTATTATATTTTTTATGATTTTGTTCATAGTTAGCAAATTTTTGTTCGTAGTTCCCTTGTTCGCAAAAGACAGTGCCTTGTGTAACTGTGGAAGACTTGCAGCCATCAAGGTGATGTTGATGAAATTTTGAAGTGATACGGCTCGTACGGTGTTGAAACGAGGCAGAAGGGATCAACCCAAACAATTCTTCAGAACACAAGACAATGTCTCTGCGTAGAGAGAATCAAGCTGATCAGGAATACGTTGAAGATTGTCAATTCGACAAGCCCTTCGCTGAATTTGGTCAAAAGGAAGAAGCTGGTATTAAGCTGATAAGGTACCATGAATTTTAGCAAATAGAACTAGATATTAGGTCCATTACGATAGATTTACATGGTATCGCATTTACCTTGGAGAGTGTTCAGCGGAGTTATTCGGATTAATACCTGCAGCTGTTTCATTTTCATTTATCGGGCGTTGAGGCAGAATACGAAATTATTTTCATACCACCTTGACGACCACCGTTCCACAACTGAGGGTTATTTAAGGCAGTTGTTACGCACACCACCACCATGTGAAACCAGGTATCCACTGAATTATTTCCATACTCGACTTAGCGTCAAGAAAAGTGCGTACCAATTCTTAAAAGGTGAGATTCTTGCCCAATTGTGCTATAATTTTGTTTTTGCTATTTGATGCCATAAAATAACTCCATACAGATCTGAATCCAACCTGGAATAATGTATGAAGCATGTTTGCTACTAAAGTATAATTAATTCAAAAACGTTAAAATAACCATGCTTAACTTAGCCGTGGATCGAAAAGCGATTCAACACTTTACACTGATTTTATAATACAATCCTGATTTTAATTAAATTCTAATGTAAAAACATTTTTAATGAGGGCATGTGCCAATTTCAAGGTTATAGAGCAATGTGCTGGCTTTGCTCTAATAAATGTAATTATTCAATATTTATGATAATGGTTTATTTATGGGTACTTTATTTTCCAAATTGTCGGCCTTGTATTTCCGGATTTTAATGGAGATTTTTTTAAAGATCAACCACGTATGACGACATATCCTAGACTTGTATAAAAGCTTCTGAATTTATCAAATCAGTATCAGTCAACTAGACAGAATCACCCAAAGCACAATGGCAGCTAAGGTAAGACATTACTATTTCGTTTCTTTTATTACATAATTTGCTAGGTATTAAATATCAGCAATTACATTTGATTTTCATATGACATATTTGCAAAGTAACACCGGCTGACCTAATAATGACTCTGTTCCAGCTCATCGTATTCCTATTCGCCGTCGCCGTGGCTCACGCCGCAGTCGTGGTCGACAACGAAGCCACCAGCTTCGAATACGGCGTCGCTGACCCCAGCACTGGTGACTACAAGAGCCAAAGTGAATCCCGTGTTGGAGGCGTAGTCCGCGGCCAATACTCTCTGATCGAACCTGATGGCTCCAAGCGCACTGTTGACTACACCGCTGACGACGTCAACGGATTCAACGCTGTTGTACGCAAAGACCCAGTCGCCACCTCAGTCGTCACCCCCGTTGTTGCCGCCCGCTCTGTCGTTGCCCCCGTGGTCCCCAAACTGGTTTCTCCAGTAACCTACGCTCGCTCATACAGCCCAGCTGTCGTTTCCCCAGTGGTCGGCACCGTTGCCCCTGTCTACGCCAACGCTCCAGTCTACGCTTCAGCTCCCTTTGTACGTAGCTACGCTGCCCCCACTGTCTACGGAAACACCGTTGTTTCCCAGGCTTACCCCTACTACAACAACTACAACACAGTCCCAGTCAACTACTACTAAGAACCTGTACAATCGTCATGTAAATATTGTTATTTCGATGCTTTAAATACAGTTGAATTTCACTATTTTCTTGTATTATTTAATACCTTTTTTTCTTTTAAATATTCTTTCACTCAATCTATATATTATTAGCGGATCGGACAGACGTTGTCCTGCATGATATTTCAAGCGATTAGGATATTAAACAAAGTATGAAAGTACACAAAGCAGCGCCATCTGCCGGGCTGTTTTGTGAATCTAAACCATCCAGGGCTCCACCCAAACGCATACAAAAAAAAACATTCAAATCGGTCCGGCCGTTTTAGAGGAATTGAGTGACATACACACGGACAGGATAATTATATATATAAGCTATCCTATCTTTTAAGTTAGATCTACACACAGTGTGCAAATTTGATTAAGATCGGTTAAGAAGTTTAGGAGTCCATAGCGGATAACCAACGTGACGCGTAATTTATATATATTAGGTCCTTACATATGAAATTGGCGTATTTCGTACTGTCCACTTTAATCACGATGTTCTCCTCTTTGGTAAGGAATTCCTAATTTGAATTAGGAATTCCTAAAATTCAAATTTGTACAGCTATTTACTCATGTCTTTGTGCTTCGATGAACGTCATTCATTTGTTTTTTTCCGCTGTTTTTTTCTGTTTGCGTCACTCATTTTACAAAATGGAAAACTTAAAGTATCGCATTATTTACGAGTACGAGTTCCGCCGTGGCACTAGTGCTGCGGAAACGACTCGAAGGGTGAATGATGTGTATGGCGGTCATGTTGCAAAAGAATACACAGTTCGTTTTTGGTTCCAACGTTTTCGTTCTAGAAATTTCGACCTGCAGAACAAGCCCCGTGGACGGCCTGAGACCCAAGTTGATAATAAAGTATTAAAGGGTATTGTGGAATCGGATCCATCGCAAACCACGTCCGAGTTAGCTGCAGGCTGCGGTGTTAGTGATAAAACTGTTTTAATTCACTTGAAGCAAATTGGGAAAATTAAAAAGCTTGAAAGACGGGTACCTCACGAATTGACTGAAGCAAACCGGCAAACGCGCGTCTACTGCTGCGTTACATTACTGAACCGGCACAATAAAGAAGGAATTTTAAACCGAATCATTACCTGTGATGAAAAATGGATTCTTTACGATAATCGAAAGCGCTCAGCGCAATGGTTGGATCCTGGCCAGCCAGCCAAATCCTGCCCCAAGCGAAAATTAACCCCAAAAAAGTTACTTGTAAGCGTTTGGTGGACTAGTGCCGGTATTGTTCATTGCAGTTTTCTCAAATCTGGCCAGACTATTACGGCTGATGTCTATTGTCAGCAATTGCAAACCATGATGGAAAAGCTAGCGGCTAAACAACCTAGGCTGGTCAATCGCTCCACGCCACTGCTACTTCACGACAACGCTAGACCACACACTGCACAACAGACGGCTACCAAATTACAAGAGCTTCAATTGGAATGTCTAAGACATCCTCCGTACTCCCCGGACCTTGCTCCAACAGATTACCATTTTTTTCGAAATTTGGACAACTTCTTGCAAGGGAAAAAATTTAACTCTGATGGGGCAGTCCAAATCGCCTTCACAGATTTTATTGATTCCCGTCCGACTGGTTTTTTTAGTCAAGGGATCAATGAACTACAACTAACAATGGTTCATACTTTGATTAATTAAATATATTATATTTAAAAATATTGGACTTTTTGATCCTCCCATACAAAACGCCAATTTCATATGTAAGAACCTAATATTAAGATAAATACAAGTATTTAAATATTTAGTAAAAGTAAACTATATCTACACATAACTAAGCGAAAAATAATAAACGGCTCAAATATAAGAGTCTTTCCTCCAACTTCGATTTTGTTCCCTTTTGAGTAGAGACTCTTGGGCCGTGGGGTTCAACTGCACAGGCGTTAATTAAAGATTTAAGTTGGCGCCTCGCTCAACGAATTAGTATCCCAATACAGCGAGGAAATGCTGCCAGCGTTAAATATACGTTACTTATTATTATTTTTAATAAAACGGGGGGAAAACGGGCAGGAGGCTCACCTGATGTTAAGTGATAACGCCGCCCATGGACACTCTCAATACCAGAGGGCTCGCGTGCGTTGCCGGCCTTTTAATAATTGGTAAAATTATTAATTAATTATTAATTACTATGTAGGTTAAGAAAATTTTAATACTGTATATTCTATCATATTTAAGTTTTAATAAGTGATACTATAGCTAGTAAACACACGTTTACCGCGTATTTAGCGAGAAAATTGTAATTATTTAAAAACATATTTTTTATACATGTATCTTCACAAGACATCATGGAACATTACAATCTAGCCTAACTTAAGACTAATAAGTTATTTATGTCTAATTTACTAAAAAGAATTTAAAATTTAGCTTAGATATTCTTTTACATAATTCTCAAAAAAAAATATGTTTATAATTTTAACTATTTAAAATTAAACTATTTTAAAATTATTAGAGATATTTTATACTAGATATTTAAGAGCCATTAAGCCCGGCTACAGTAAAAATATAAATAGCTTTCCTAAATTTACATACTTTGAAACTAAATAATTTCAAATAGCTTAAAAAGTTGTAAGCTCCTTAGTAAGAAGATCGTGTCTCACTCCGAACGCCGTAAAAGGTGATCTACAAAAAACATAAAACTCAAATGTGAAAATTTTTACGTACCATATGTTCTAGAGTGCGCTTTGTTTGAAAGACTAAGAAGGCTTTTATCCTTAAAGTGCATGAAAAGATATCAGCGAAACAGACTTAAAAATATATGCTCCGTAGAAATATAGATACGGGCTTAGTTTTCCTTACAAAAAGGTTTCGTTACTAAAATAATAATAAAGATTATTTCCCTTCACAAAATTGCGTGCTGTGTACATGCTGCAGGTATTATGTTCGTGAGAGGCTAGTGCCTATAATAGGACTATAAAAGTCCTGAAAATTATCAAAGAGATGACTGCATATTATGACTATAGTAATAAGCGAAATAAAACTAAAGCAGAGTGGTTCTGGGTGTGTGAAAATGTGAAAGATTCTGATTGAAAGTCTACCTCAAATGCAAAAAAAATGTTGGATCGTAATCAGGGCTTTGTAGAAATTTAGAAACAGCTATTTTAATTCATTTTTAATCACGCATTTGATCAAACATCAGTCAATCAATCTGCAATTTATAAGACAATCTACAATATAAGACGGCCATAATATTAAATGTAGATTATATATTATGTTAAGAATTATTATATCGTTTAATGGTCCTGTTAACAGATTGTGTCGGCCATACAATAAAACTGTGATGAATAATGACTCGGTGAACATTTTCTGAAACTCCATAGAGACCTTTCTTATTATAATTTTCTTTAGCTTGATTGTAGTTCAATCTAATGGCTATTGATATAAAATAAAAGTACATAAATAATAATGTTTACTAAAAAGGGCAACAGCATTTGAAAAGAGTTATAAGATGTTCTCTATTTCCATGAGCATTAGTTGTATATTAAGAATGGAGAATAAAGGAATTATATCCCTGTATACTTATTTAACTTAACACACAAGCACTTAATTATATTTTCACGACTATATTGTCGTCCGAGGTATTAAGTTACTTATGTATATGTATAACCTAAGTAAATAGCATTTGTAACAACTTTTTGTATTAATACATTTTCAGAACACACGCACTTCTTACACAAATTAAAAATAAATGAAGCATAAGGTGGTTTATTTCTTTTCATTGTACCCGCATGTCCTTATATGTGACAGATAAGCAAATGTACAACCCACATTCGCTTTTTAGCTAAGCTTTAAAGCTCTATATGATGCCGTTTAAATTATATTAATATCATCATACATGACACCATCCGCGTCCAACAAATGATAAATATTTTGTCCTGGGGTAAGGCATAGCAGAAGAGAAGCTTGGCTAATCAGTTCTTATTGGAACCTCTGAGGTGTATGCTAACCGAAGATTAGTACCGCTTGCCTTAAACTGAAATTAAACAACCAATAATTTAAACCTTGACTTGTTTAAGCTATTGCGGAAAATGGTTAAATTGAGTAAAAAGAATATTCATAACGCAAAATCACCTGCATCATGAGCCTACCCCACATACCTTCACGTTTACACCCTCACTTTTACACCTATCACACATCACAGCCAAACTAGGTATTACTTAGTTAAATGTATAGGATAAATTATTATTTTTTTACCTTTTCGTAAATATTATGTATTCTTTGGCCATATTTTTAGTGTAATTGTATAATATTCTGTTTTTATACATATCTTTTGTCAGTTGTAGGATTACGAAATAAATAAAAAATAGTTTTACAATATATTTAGTTGAATTTTGGCCACACATAAGCTGTAAATATATTTATAAATCATCATACCAAACATATATTACAGTTCATTTATCTATTACTTGATAAATGTTTGATTACAAATTATCGAACTTATTTATATGTGGGTCTATGTTATATAAAGAGCGAATTACCTAAGATTACATCGCCAAAAAGATATACTTGTTTAAAAGATCACAAGGAAGGCAAAACAACAAAAATTCAAGGTGATGTTGACATTTATTGCGCTCATTACGTTAAACTTTTGATTTAATGCTCTTTAAATTAATAGATTATTTTCCTATAAATTTAAAATCGAGCATATTTATTAGCGAGTGTTTTTCTTAATCTTAGTTTTTTATAAAAAATGCGACAAAAAAGTTGTGATGTAATTATTTAATTGTATTGACAAATACATCTGGATAACATTTGAGGAATCCTAACATGATAATTATTTCGACTATGTAATATGTATTTGCGTGTTGTTCCCACAAGAATGCAAGTGCGTGCTCCTATTGTGCGCTATGCCTCCTGCTGATAGAGGACAAATCTTTGTTTTTAATTTATTTGAACATGGTCTAATGGTAGCAGCTCCTTAACATTGTGTAAAACAAAAAACCGGGCAAGAAACGGACAAGAAAATATGA